CAACACACACCGAACCCTGCAACACACACTGAGCGCTTCGTCACGCACCGAGGGCTTCATCATACACCGAGCACTTCAACACACACCGAGCGCTTCAACACACACTGAGCACTTCGTCACACAGGAACCTTTCAACATACACCGAACCCTTCATCATGCACTGAGTCCTTCAACACACAGGAACTCTTCCTCACATCCCGAGCCCTTCATCACGCACCGAGCGCTTCGTCATACACTGAATCCTTCAACACACAGGAACCCTTCGTCATACACCAAACCCTTTGTCACACACCAAACCCTTCAACACACAGGAACCCTTCATCACGCGCCGAGCCCTTCGTCATACACCAAACCCTTCATCACGCACCGACCCCATCATCATACACACACAGGAACTCTTCATCATACATCAAACTCTTCACCATACACTGAACCCTTCACCACACACCAAATCATTCCACACTGAACCCTTCAACACACACTGAGCCTTTCCCCAAACGTTGAATCCTTCCTCAAATACCAAACCCCTCTCCACACACTTAACCCCTCCCCACATACCAGACCTTTCCCCACAGCAAACCCTTCACCATACATCGAACCTTTCCCTGCACATCTAATCCTTCACCACTCACTCAATCCTTCCCCACACACCAAACATTTCCCCAAACACTGAACACTTCCTCACACACCAAATCCTTCACCATATATCAAACTCCTCCCCACACACCAAACCCTTCTCTGCTCCCCAAACCCTTCCTCACACATTAGCACTGCAGATACACAACACATCCTTTAATCACAGGATGGTTTGTGTTGGAAGGACTTTAAAGATCATCCAGTTCTACCCCCTGCCATGGGCAGAGACATCTTCCACTAGCCCAGGTTGCTCCAAGCCCCATCCAACCTGGCCTTGAACACTTCCAGAGATGGAACAGCCACAGCTTCTCCGGGCAACCTGTGCCAGTGCCTCACCACCCTCACAGGGAAGAGGTTTTTCCTAATATCCAACCTACCCTGCCCTCTGTCAGCTGAAGCCATTCCCCCTTGTCCCATCACTACTCTTTAGGCACTGGAAGGTGCTCTAAAGTCTCCCCAGAGTCTTATCCAGGCTGAACACCCCCAGCTCTCCCAGCCTGTCTCAGTGGCAGAGGCACTGCAACCCACCAATCACCTCTGTGCTCTCCTCTAGAACCCTCCAGCAGCTCCACATCCTTCTCATGTTGGGGTACCAGATCAGGACACAGTACCCCAGGTGAGGTGTCTCACCAGGGCAGAGTAGAGAGGGACAATCACCTGCCTTGACCTGCTGGATTGTGCCTGGCTGAGGGGACAGGGGTGGCAGACCTGGTGCCAAAAGGCTTTGCCTGTAACTGCACCCAGCAGTGACCCAGCGCTGGGTCTGACATTCCTCACTCCCAGGTACACACTGCTCGGCCAAGCAGGAAGGGAAATCACACTGGAATAAACACCCTGCCTTACCAGTTTGACTCCGAGGCCTGTCGTTCAGAGGGAAGGAAGGTGGTGAGAGATGTCTGCAGACACGATTTTTGTTAATTAAGTTGTGCACATTCCAGCTATCGCTGATGGCAAGAGCAGCACCCGCAGCCTCGTCTGTGAGCTGCAGGAACTTGCCCAGACAATTATTTGCTAATCCTACATCTAGATGTGTTCTGGCAGGCAAGAGCATCTGGGTTACACGTTCACTGACTTAGCAGCTCTCCACCTTCTTTCCCCGGGGCATTTTATAGATGTTAAGTGAGTGGTTTCCTTGCCCTGGCTCAAAAATGGTGGGTTTACTCGGTCTGGGTGTCCGTGACAGCCTTGTTCAGGTCAGCTGGAGACAGACTGACACTGCATATGACTCATCACTTGCACAAGAAGCAGCAGCCTCAGCTCTGACCTTGTGATCACCTTTTTGCTGTTCTGGAAGAAACCACTGGACTGGGTTTTGATGTTGGATTGCTTGGGAGAGCTGTTTTGTAAAAGATAAAGCAGTTCAGCCATCGAGAAGGTTGAAATGCCAAATGATGTTTCCCCTGCTGTGTTACACAGCTCTGAACTGCACCACAATAGCTTTCAAGTACCAAAATAGAGTACTAGGTCAGTCTACACGAAACTAACTCAAAGTTAAGAGGAAAAGATGTATTAAATTCTGTACATCTAGGGTAAGAGGCAGGAATTCTGTGGATCAGCCACTGCTTCCCCCCCCACCACACACAGAATTAACACAAAACCAGGCTTTGTCCATTTTACAAAAATAGCTCTTGTGAGATTTAATGCCTGTCTCCATTTTACAGATGTTCCAGACAAAAATCAACCTGCATATTGTATAAAGAACAGAACTCGTGACAAGTTGGAACATCCTCTCTGAGCTTGAATGAGTGTAGAAGATCACCTGGGTAAAACCTGCTAGTGGCTTGTTAAAAATGTCTAAGGTAACGTCAAGTTTTCCCAACAATGATCCAGAAAATCTACAAAGACATAAACCCCAGACTTCACAACAGAAACAGTGACTCCTGATAAGGAATATCTGTTCAGGTAATTAAAAAATGCACCAATGTTTCCATGAACTATTAAGCAAAAATGGCTACTATAGAGTTATATAAGGGAGCACCTACAGGTTGAATCTCTTCTGCTTAACTTAATTAGGAAGCTAAAAAACTATTTCTGAAGACAGAAGAACTCCAGAACCTTATCCTGGTGAGGTTATCTTCATTACCTGGAAGTTCTGCACCCAGAAGTGAAACAAGGCGAGGATTTGCCCTCTGAGAGGCAAGGAAGCTGCATTTTGAGACTTCTTATTTTACAATTCACCCTCCCAGACAAGATTTCCAAAGCAAACGCTGAAACCATCTCAAGTCAAGACACAAATAAATAAAGAGGAGTGACAGGACTCCGGTGGGATATCCTGCCTTATGCTACAGCAGAAAATTGTCTCTCAAATCCGAGCGTGAAGTGGTTTGAAATAATTTACATGTGATCCATGCCCTGTGACGTCGCTCAGTTTTGGCTCTTGTTCTCTCAGGTGTTGAGGAGATTCATGTGGGATTCTGTGAGACTAACTATATCCACTCCCAGGAGTTCAGGACGTTGTCACAGGTATCAAACTCTTGCCAAGGAATCTGAAACTGAGGTCTGCTGCCACACCATAATGTTAAGGAGGACAGGATGGGGTTTTAATTCATTCACTCGGATTCTCTGAGTGTTGCTATATGTTAGTCTGGAGTGTGCAGGGCCAGATGGAGTCCAGTTTCAGGACAGAGAGCAGCACTGTGTATTAGCACTCATTAGTCCAGTCTCACAGCAATTAGGAAAGACTCAAGTCACTCTTCAAGTTGGTTTGAGGACCAGGAGGACAGTGCTGAAGCTTCACTGTCCCCCTAAAGCACATGCTGCAGGCTCAGCAGAGGTAACACGGGGTCCCTGCTGTTCTCTGGAGGCAGCAGGTGAGGTTTGCACCCTTTAGTTCCGGGACTCTGAGGACGTTGGGCTGCGAACTGTTGACATTAGGTGGGACTTGTACGTCTTGCTCAGGCCAGTCATCCAGAACTTGAGAAGCTTGACATTGTCCTCCTCCGCAGCTCCCAGAATGCTCAGCAGTTTTTGGGTATCCTCCTTGGGTCTGCTGTCCACTTTAGTGAATTTAAAGAGGACTTTCACTTTGCTGCAGGAAGAAGACATTCCTGTCACTACTGAATGGGTTTGCACACAACAGGAAACAAGCATGAACTGGAGCTTTTCTCAGCATCTACCGCAACAAAATGTTAACAAAAACTTCCACCAATGTTTTATGGGAACTATTCTCATGCTTTGAGTGAAGAAGGGGGATCCGTTAGGGAGTCGACTCATTCTCAGTAGCAACATACATATTTCTAGTTTGTTTTTTTCATTCTAGCGGAAAGTGAAACAATTAACTGTGACAACTGGAAATCTCCCTGGGAGACACATCCAGTGCCCATCTGGCCTTCAGGTAAACTCACAGAATCATGATGTCCCACGAGTTATTCCACACGAGTTATTTCACACGACTGACTGGTCTTCCTTTCTAGCTACTTGCACCTTTGAAATGTGGTGCCTGAAGGCACAACCCTGACATCTGTTTGGCTTGTACCCGCGCTGGGGTACAGCACTCTGACAGGCAGAGAGGGATTTGCATACTTAATCCTCCTAAAGAAGGTGAGGCCTACAGGTATTGTCATGCAGGTAACCTACAGATGTGTGAACCAAGCATAAAGGTTAAGAACTGCTGAAAGCCAAAAAGAGTTAGTACTAGAGTAGAAAAACTCCGATATTAATTCCCGACTTAATTTACTCCTGTAAATCCAACTACTCTTGGACTAAAGCAGAAGTGACCTGACTACACGAGTCTGCCCAGAACTCTGCTGTAACTGTTCCAGGGTCAGTGCCAAAGCTGTTTCTCTGACAGCAATGCAGTTGTACTTACTTCATCCACTCCTCCTTCAGGCAAACAAGGCACTGATCCACAACATCTACTGAGAGGTTCTGGTTGGTCAGAGCAGCTTCAATCTTGTTCAAGATTGTTGGGCCAACTGCAGGAGCAGAGAGAGGGGGAAAGAGGGAGAAAGAGAACACACAAGCTGTAGGTTACTTGCTCACACCTTTGCTATTAACTGCTAAATACATCCCTCAGTGCCCTGTTGGGATGTAATTTTCACAGAAGAGGAGCTAAAGATCATCCCAGTAGAAAAACATCTGATTCAAGAAGCAAAAGGGAATTCTGTGAAGGGTCTTGGGACATGCAAACAGGTTCAGGGGCCTTTGTTTTCTTCAGCCCCACTTTTAAACTGCTGGTTAGATTTTGCTGTTTCTAGTCCCTTATTAAAAACTCAATAAAAACACACAAGGTTATGAAAAATCTTCCTGCTCTGTACAATATACAAACACAAACCCAGAAACCCTCAGTTTTGAAGTCTCCACTCACTCTTGATTTAATGTTTTTCTTGTTAAGGGCAGTTCCAGGATACTTAGTGAGCAAATAAACCAACAACCAACCCAAGGCACTCCTGGACCACTTTTAGGAATTCCCTGCTTGGAATTCCTTGGGCTTTTTTGCCCAATAAGCCATGATCTAGTAAGTGTGATGCTGCAGTGAAGAAAAGACCTTGCAGTGACTATTACTGTCCAGAAGCTTCTGGACATGCCACTGATAGATGGAAAGTAAACTACTCTAATTATACACCTTGGATCTACAACAGGAAGAACAACTATGGAGGGAGGTTCATACCTCCATTCCTATGGAGGAGCAGATTCATACTGCTTTGAATCTGTGTTTTCAGAGGATGGAGCAGGGAGGATGAACCATCTGCCATGTTTTTTGATACACTCAGTAAGGCCAATGCATCTAAATTAAGACTTCCCAGAAAACCCCAGACTGACAGACCTGGCTCAAATCACACCTAGGTGCAAGTGTTCAAGTGCTTGACCGAAGTCAGTGAAACAAAATAACAAACTCTGGGTATTTCTCTATCAATCATACTTGTCTGCCAAGTGGAACATGGGAGATGAGTGATGTCATGATCCTTATAAGCATGACTTCCTCAAAACAAACACAAAGCAAATCCTTCATAACTAACGAGTCTGTGGTGGAGCTCCAAATCACCACAAACAGCAACCACTCTGTTGTATAACTGACCTGGTTTCTACTCAGACTTCCTTAAGGGCCAATCCATGAAGAGCACAAAGAACAGCTAAGTATCAAGATGCTCTTTTGACCTCAGTGATACAGGTTCTTTCTGCTTCCAAATCACCCACCTCGATCTGCTGCCACAGGACTGCCACTGGTGACCACGAACTCGTACTTGTTGAGGGACTGCTCGTCGTCGAACGCAGCTGGGTAGAGACTGGAGCGCGTCGCAGCGCGAACTTCCACGAGAACTGCAAACTCTAGAGCAACGAGAGCCCCGAAGAGCATGAACTGTGCTAGCCCAGCTTCTAAAATACACCTACAGACCCTGCTGTGACCAGTGCTGAAAGAAGGTGTCACATCTTTCAACCGCTGACCAGCAAGGATACACAGGGAGAACAAAATAGAGTGGTTCAGGGTTCGGTTCATACAGCCAGTACTTGTTTGGCAAGGTAATAATCTTGTGGCCTTTAACATAAGACACTAGCGAAAGGAGAGGGTTCTGCAACGGGTTCTTACCAGATGACAGGATGTGGGGTGGGATTTGGACGTGTGGGCTAAGGCCCAGGAAGTTACACCGATATGCCTCTTCATACTGGTCACTGTAGGGGATGATCCGCACACAACCAACTGGCAGCATCGTCTGGAGAGGGAAGGAAACGTGTCAAGGAACTAAACTGGAACGTACAGTTTTCTCCCCGACTTCCAGGGCAAACCAAGACCTGCAGCACTGCTCAGGCAGATGCTCCTGATTTGGGGGATCAAAGTATCCTACTTAGCTTGAAAGATTATGCAGTTACTGAGGACAAGCAAGACATCCAAAGGCTGAGGGGTTTTTGTTTGGTGCATGGTTTTTTGGTGGTTGTTTTTGCAAAAACACGTAATTTAGAGCACATTCTTCACAAGATTACATGTCAGGTCATTATGAAGGTTGGACTACTTGAGAAATACATGTAAAGATATGCAGCCAGGAAATAAAGGGAAAAGTTTCTACCCGTAGCACGTCAAAGGCAGACTGGACAAGATCCATGTCTCGAGCTTTCCAGATGACCTGGTTCCCCATCAGGACATGCCAAGCTAGCATTCGGAATGCTGATGCCCCAAGAACCTGGAAAAAACCCCAAAACCATTCTGCATTGGTCATGAAAATGAGGGAAATGTCCAGTTTGCCCTGTCACAGACATGACTGATACACAGGAAAAACGGCTAGAATAGAACAGCAGATGAACATTTAGCAGGTCTGAAACACTTTTGCTTTAAGCAAATCATACTTGGCTTTGAAGACGCTCCATGACTTCTGTATTAAATTACTGCCACTACTCTTGGGAAGAGGCAAAGTGCAGAACAGGAGTGAAATCATATGACCCCACTGCACATGACTGATGATCACTAGGGCCCATGTGATCTCAGAGGAAGGGAGCGCCCCCAGAGAGGCAGTTCACATCATGTTACTGACTGGGCAGGCACTGTGCTGAGCACAGAGCCAGGAAAGAAGTGCAGGTTGCAGGAAATAAATGTATCTTGACAAAAAAACAATATCAGGAGACAAGAGTTTGTGAATTCAGCATCCCCTGTCTTACCTGTCTCATGTGCCTGAGAGAGCGAAAGACAGACAACCTCCTGTGAGCCACGTTCCAGCTGTTGCAATCTGGCATCAGAGATGTTTCAGGTGAGCACTTAGACAGCTCCTGCCCTTCCACAAGGTCTGGCTGGGAAGAAGGCTTCTCTTCTTCCTCAGAACCATCCCAGCCTTCTGACTCTTCTTTCAGATCTAGCAAAAAAAGGCACAGTGGTCAAAAGAATTGCTGCTCTCTAGGCATGGGAACTGTCTCCAAAGTGCCTACATGTGCTGCAGCCAAGTGATTTTGGCTGTATGTGAGAAGACAGACTCAGAACACAGGAACTGAAGTCCTGGCAGCAGCACAGACGCACCTAAGAGTTAATGAAGTGCAAATTCAAAGGTAAGATAAACCACCAAAGGGTCAAGAAGGACTTTTCATCTTCTACAAAACACAAAGTCACATCTTTCAACCAGCTACGTTTTCTCTATTCTTGTTTTAAAGGTTATGGCAAAGCTTTGTAGACTCGAGTCTAAATAGGTTAATAAAACAATCCAATGCAAGAAAGAAAAATGATGATCCTTTAATTTCAGAAAGTTTGTAGAAAAAGAAGCAAGTCCCTATGTTATGACAGCAAGTCCTTCTGGCTGTGGAGATTCAGTGGGAGGGCCAGCCCAGGCAGGGAGAACAATCATTGTGATGATGCAACACTCCTACTCGAGTGACAAACACCACATCTGTGAGCACAGAGCCCACGAGGCGCCTGGATGTCACATTCCTGTCAGAGTCATCTCCAGATGGGAGAACACATCAGCTGCCACAGAGACTACCACGAAGGTAGAGCTGATGAGTAATCCTGTGCTTATGTTGCTGATGAAAGGACTTGGTGCTTTACCATTCAAAGCATTCTCAGAGTGTCTTTTCCAGCACTGGAAATTTCTATCTCACCTTCAAGTTTTTCCATCTGAACGAGGGTGTCCTCTGTGGGTGCTCCCTCCAGAAGTTTCTCCGTAAGCCGACTACCACAAGCTTTCAGCAGCCTGGAGACATTGAAAGAGAGAGCAGCAGTGTTCAGCCAGGCTGCCTGCTAGGTGCAAAAATCCAGTAAGAAACTTGGTGCCATGAGCTCCACAAAAAATCCAACCACTAAGCAGCTGGTGTTTCCTTTCAACACATCCCTCTGCTCTCCTCAGGATGGAACTATCAATGCATCTTACAACTGCTGCCACATAAAGTCACCCACATCCTACCATTCTGCAATTCCTTTGTGCAACACACTTATCCCCCATCCAAATCACATGTCAGTGTTGCAACCCTCTCTGTGGCATCTTTCCAGGGAAATTTAATGAGCCAGTCAGGCACTGGAGCGACTGGATTGCCACAGAGCCAAAGGGCTGCACCTCCCACATTGCCTATCACAACACACAGGCACTTCCAGGTGAACAACTGCTGCATGTCATGTGTGAATTCGAGGTACAAGACACAGGGGGTAGAAGCATCTTGTATTCTCTTCCTCCACACGTTCACAGTGCAAAACGTTTCCACCTACACAGACTTGGGACAGGCACTGAACTATCTCATCTCTCTGGGAACCAGGGACAGGTCCCACAGGAATGGCATGGAGCTGTGTCAGGGGAGGTTTAGGCTGGATATTAGGAAAAGGTTTTCATCCAGAGGATATTTGGGCACTGGAACAACTCCCCAGGGCACTGGTCACAGCCTAAAGCCTAACAGAGCTCAAGAAGCATTTGGGCAGTGCTTTCAGGCAGATGGTGGATTGTTGGGGATGTCCTGTGCAGGGCCAGGAGTTGGACTGGATGGTCCTTGTGGGTCCCTTCTGTAATTAGCTGCCACATTAGTGTTACTTCACAGCAAAAAGACTTTGTTTTTGGTCCTAAAGGCATCAGCACTGGCTCCTTCCAATTCAGACACTACTTAGCAAAGTCCAACTTACCACATCGACTTACCCCAAACTCTCAAACCACATTCTCACCCTTTCAGACTACAACAGTATTCCCTTCAGGAAGGGGCTGTAGGACCCAAAAGCACCAGAGGCATTACCAAGCAAAGGAGGTGTGCAGACATGCCCACAGGTTCTCATCGTTGGTCAGGGAGGTTAAGGAACGCGCAGCATTCCCGTTCCGCTGGTGCAGGAAGGGAGTGAAGGCTGTGTTCATGCGCTGGGCACGCTGAGGGCACCCGAACTGCTCTGCCTCAAACACCTGCACACACAGCAGGGACAGTGTCAGAGACTGGAGAAGACAAAATGTTTACATAATGCTGAGCCAAAAGAACACAACAAAAATAACAAGTGAAAAGAGTGAGTCACACGTAATCATCCAAAATACACTGTCAATTGTGGGAAAACAGAGGGAAGAGACAACTCATCCTTAGATTGACTAAAACTATCATTAAGTAACATTTGTGCTCCAAAGTCATCGTCCTTCACAAGTTTTGTTACTTACATTACTAACAGAGCTATTGTCTCACAGGTCTGTGAAAAGCACTGACTGTTTAGAATGACAAAGGCACTGTGTTCCTTCACTCCTACACCCCAGACATAGAATCCGGGAATGGTTTGGGTTGGAAGGACCTTAAAGCTCATCTCGTTCCATGGGCAGGGACAACTTCCACTAGATCAAGTTGCTCCAAGCACCATCCAACCTGGCCTTGAACACTTCCAGGGATGGGACAGCCACACCATCCTCTTGTCCCTTGTGTCATCATTAATAACCACCCTGGCATGAGCTGGATCAACTTTTTGCCCCAGCTGTCAATCAGCCATCACGTTTCACTGGCACTGAGTCAAGGGGACTCTGCACTGACCTACCTTCAGTGCTTTGCCCTGAAGCTCATCAATGATCCCTCTAATCTTTCCCAACAAGAAAGGCCAGGAGTTGATGAGGTAAATCCGGTCCATCATGATGGTGATGATGCTGTACCAGCGCTGGAAACCTCGAGCCAGGCTGTCTTTGATAAAGAAGGTGTGGCTGAACACAAAGCCGTGCTGCTCATCTCCGAAAAAAATAGGGCCCTCACGTCCTGGGCAGACCTGAACGGAAGGGACACACATCCCAAAGTCAATACACACACCACACAGTAACAATCTGAACAAATCTCCCCGTGCTTTAACACACACTCGGTGAATAAATGAAGCTTCTCTTAGGCTACCAACCAAAAAGTGTGGTCTAACAGTCCCTCCAGGGGCATCCCACAAACACTGCAAAACTTCAATTTAACTGTATTATAAAAGTTCAGCTCTATTCAGCTACAACACTGAGAAAACACAAAGGATTTTCCTGAGCCTGACACACAAATGCTGATTGATCTGTAAGGTCTTTCCCTTCACTGCTGTGAGGTCATGGATGTTAATGGTCTGCAAAGATCAAATACTTCGTGGCACTAAACTAGAGATTCCAATGCTTTTACAAAACAGAATTTTACAAAGAAAAACAATAAACACATAGCAACAAAACCAAGAAAGGAACATTCTTAGTCTCACAAGGTGAGAGGAAGGAACCTATACAGTTATTAAAGATCAGCCTTAAATCACCAATCCTGGAATGAACAGAGTTGTTCCTCTGTCTTTCCACCTCATTCCTTCCTTGTTTCAGGCTGCACAGAGCAATCAGGATCAGCAAAGGGATATCTTGGATTTGAAATGATGCATCAGGCCAGAGCCAGGTCTCTCCCTGCCCTCCAGGGCAGTTACCTCACAGCTGAGGCTGCGGACGCAGGCCTGGCGCACGATGCTGAACAGCTGGGGGTGGTTTGGGTGCTGGTGACTGACATACTTGATGGAGGTTTCTTTGTCATGGCTGACATATCCTGGATGTCCTCCTGCAAGAGAGCGGCACCCCTGAAGGCAGAAAAGCAAATCCAGCCATAAATGAGGATGCAGTTACCTCACATTTCCAAAACATCATGGAATGTTACTTACAGGTATAGCTAAGGACACTTAAGAAGATAAGAAATGTGAGACAGGGTCAGCATTTGAACCCAACTCCTCACACTGAACTCTGGTATGCTTCCTCTGCTCTTACCCTCATTTTTAACTACTGAGTTTCATTGGGAACTGGGTGCTGGCTCTACAAGTGGTAAAATTCATTTAACAGGAGCTGTGAAACCAACTGGCCTAACAAACCTGACCAGACCCAAGGGAAAGCAAACAACAGATATCTCAGAGCAAGTACCAATCGGAGGCAAATATGAAAATCATAGAATCATGGAATGGTTTGGGTTGCAAGGGACCTTAAGGATCATATGGTTCCAATCCCCTCCCATGGACACCTTCCACCAGACCAGGTCGCTCCAAGCCCCATCCAACCTGGCCTGGAACACTTCTAGGGATGGAGCACTCACAGTTTCTCTGGACAAGCTGTGCCAGTGGTGAGCACTCTCACAGGGAAGAATTCCTTTTGTATATCTAACCTAAATTTCCCCTCTTTCACTTTGAGCCCATTACCCCTGGTCCTATCACTACAGCTCCTGATGCAGAGTGCCTCTCTGGTTTTCTTGTAGGCTCCTTCAGGTACTGGAAGGTTGCTATGAGGTCTCCACACACCTTCTCTTCTCCAGGCTGAACAGCCCTGAATGACTGAGAATATGCACTTTTTTCTACTCTTTTAACTGCTTTGGCATTTTTTTGAGTCCTAATCAATACTGCTCCTAAAATTCTTATTAATCCATGATCTGACCTAATCTAATAAAGGAAATGCTCTTTGAGGATGAGGAAAATACTTCACAGATCACAGGGCTTAAAGAGACCTCAAGACAACGCCCTGCCAAGGTCTATGTACTCAACCACAGTTCCTTCATCCTCTTGTCATGGATCATTACAGTTTATGAGTACTTGGAGATTTTCTGGCACTAGCAGTCACATACAAAGCAAGTGCTGTCCACTTGTTTTTCTTCATCTAAACAATTTCACTTGCATTACTGAATCCTAGAGCCAAAGGCCACTGATATCCACACCCGGATCTTCACACTTGCCTCACACATGTCAGACTTCTTTGGCCCTGGGCTGCTGGAGTCAGCACTGGCCCCTTCTGCTGGGCTGTGAGAGCGGATCCGACTGCTCATCTGAATCCCACCTTCCTCCTCTTCCACCTGCTCATTCTGCCCAGCGATGTCCCCACTGCCAGCGCCTTGGGGAAGCGGCGAGTGCAGAACCTCAGTGCAGAACAGGGTGCGAGGGCCATGGAGCTCACAGAAATGGCAGAGAGCAACGATAGCATTCATAGTGAGAGCTCAGCACGCCGCCAGGGCTCCTGCAGCGAGGGAGAGAGCACAGGGCGTCAGAGTTACAGCATCCCTCAGCCCCGAGTGGCGCCAGTCCTGCTCTGCATCCCTCCGGGGGCAGCCGGACTGCGGCTCAGCCTGAGGGACCAGCACAGCTCCCTCTCGGGCCCGAGCGGTGCCAGTCCTGCTCCACATCGCTCCAGAGCAGCCTAAGGGCCCAGCGC